CCCCCCCAGGGGTCCTGACGGCTCTTCGTTATAGAGGATAGAGCAGGGGTCCTCAAACTTTTTAAACAGAGGGCCAGGTCACAGTCCCTCAAACTGTTGGAGGGCCGGATTATAATGAATGAATTCCTGTGCACACTGCACATATCATATTTGTAGTGCAATAAAAAAACACTTAAAAACAATACAATAATTGAATGAAGAACAATTTTAACAAATATAAACTTATTAGTATTTCAATGGGAAGTGTGGGCTGCTTTTGGCTGATGTTATAGAATTGTTGAGAGACTTATATGGAAAAAAATAGACTCATAGAGTCATCGGGAGCATTGCAGCGCACCTAAATACCTGGGAATCACTTTGGACCGTGTTCTGACCTACAAGAAGCACTGCCTGAACATCAAGCAAAAAGTGGGTGCTAGAAACAACATCATACGAAACCTGACTGGCACAACCTGGGGATCACAACCAGACACAGTGAAGACATCGGCCCTTGCGCTATGCTACTCTGCTGCTGAGTACGCATGCCCAGTGTGGAACACATCTCACCACACTAAAACAGTGGATGTGGCTCTTAATGAGACATGCCGCATTATCACAGGGTGTCTGCCCTACACCACTGGAGAAATTACACTGCTTAGCCGGTATTGCACCACCTGACATCCGCCGGGAAGTAGCAGCCAATAGTGAAAGGACCAAGGCAGAGACATCTCCAGCTCATCCCTTGTTTGGGTATCAGCCAGCATGTCAACGACTCAAATCAAGAAATAGTTTTCTTAGATCTACAGAGACACTTGCTGGAACACCTCAGCAAGCGAGAGTCCAAAAGTGGCAGGCTCAAACCCAGAACCTCAATCCGTGGGTGATACCAGATGAGAGACTCCCCCCTGGGCACACAGAAGACTGGGCGACTTGGAAGGCACTGAACAGACTGCGCTCTGCCACCACGAGATGCAGAGCCAATCTTAAGAAATGGGGCTACAAAGTGGAATCCACAACATGCGAGTGTGGAGAAGAGCAAACCACTGACCACCTGCTGCAATGCACCTGAGCCCTGCTACATGCACAATGGAGGACCTTCTTGCGGCAACACCAGAGGCACTCCAAGTGGCCAGATACTGGTCAAAGGACATTTAATCAGCTACCAAGCTTGCAAAATTTGTGTTTTGTTTTTTTTATCTGTTTGTTTGTTTTGTTCTGTTAGAAATGTAATACAATGTTCTGGTTGCGGATGACACGATAAATAAATATTTCCTGGGAAGGAAGTTAGGCCCAATCCTCTTGACCCCCCAAAACTATGACTGGATCCCCCCATCTCTGTTTGCTTTGCATTAAAACTGGGAGGTATTGCAATTAGGATCAAGTTAACCAATGAGAATCTCAGTCTATACCATACCCACACCACTAGTTTAAGGAAAAAACGACACAATCAGATGAAGTTCCAGTTACAATACCAATGGAAGACCTAAATCAAACTATTGATCCAGGCACTCAAGGCCCCCGAATGACAACTCATCACTGACGCCTTTGCTTGTTTTGAATTCTTTCCTCGGCACAGCGTTTGCTTCAATGCCCGCTGCTGCGCTGTAATTCCGAGCGCATTTTGCAGAGGAATCAGCAGATGGTTCCTATATGTCCCTAACCCCAACTGTTGTTAGTCATTTGGGCACTTTTGCTCATTTTCCTTCACAAAAATAAACAGAAACAAGGGGAGAAATCCCATCCAATCCTGGAGACTCAGGTTCAAATGTTTTACTTTGGCATCTCAGCCCAACCCACCAGGCCAGAGTCTGGCAAGACTAAAAATCCACATTATCTGCTTTGAACTGGATTATATATGTAGATTATATATAATATAATATTATATACATATAATATATTATTAATAATGTTAATATTAATAATAATGATTATGATATTATTAATAATGATTATAATAATAATAATTATTATTATTATGATTATAATAATATAATAAAAATAATGATAATTATATTATTAATAATTGATAATAATAATATAATAAAAATAATGATATTTATGATGATATTATTCATGATGATGACAATAATAATGATAATGATGATTATAACAATAATATAATGACAGTATTAATAATGGTAATAGTGATGGTGGTGATATTATTAATAATGATTATGATTATGATAAAATATATAAATAATGATAATAATGATGATTGTGATATTATTAATAATGATAATAATGATAATATTATAATATTAATAATGATTATAATAATTATGATGGTGATATTATTAATAATGATATAATGATAAAATATATTAATAATAATGATAATAATGATGATTGTGATATTATTAATAATGATAATAATGATAATATGTTAATATTAATAATGATGATGGTGATATTATTAATAATGATAATGATAATGATAAAATATATTAATAATAATGATGATGGTAATAATGATAAAATAATAGTAATAATAATGGTAACAATTATAATGGTGATATTATTAATAATAATGATAATGATGATGACGATGATGATGATGATTATTATTATTATTATAAAATAATAATAATATTAATAGTAATGATAATAATGATGGTGATGATAATGATAATAATAGTGGTATGTTTTATTGATCAGCCCATCCGGCCATATCAAAACACTTGACAAAAACACGCTTGACAGCAGATACACATACAGCCTAGTACAACCCACATTACAAGAAAAGTTAAGATAAACTAGGGCCCCTTCCACACAGTGGAATTGAAGTGGGATATGTAGCAGTGTGAACTCAGATAAGACAGTTCAAAGCAGATTGAGGACCCTTCTATATCCCAGAATATCAAGGCACAAAATCCCACAATATCTGCTTTGAACTGGGTTATCTGAGTCCACACTCAGATAATGTGGGATTTCCTGCCTTGATATTCTGGAATATAAGGCTGTGTGGAAGGACCCTGAGGGATCTAGATCAGGTATGGGCCAACTTGGGCCTTCCCTCCAGGTGTTTTGGACTCCAACTCCCATCATTCCTAACAGCCTCAGGCCCTTTCCTTTACGCGGCTGAGGGGGAAAAGGAAGGGGCCTGAGGCTGTCAGGAATGGTGGGAGTTGAAGTCCAAAACACCAGGAGGGAAGGCCCAAGGTAGCCCATGCCTGATCTAGATCCCTTGTTGGCCCATACCTGGCCTAAAGTCATGCGCAGAAAAGCTGACCGCCTTCTGCTCAGAAGGGATTTCCAAATAAACTTTGCCTTCAGCAAACAAGTCTCTCTCTCTCTCTCCTCTCTCTCTGGGCCCTTCCACATTCAGATAATATGGGATTTACTACCTTGATATTCTGGGATATAGGGCTGTGTGAAAAGGCCCTGTCTCTCTCTCTCAATCTCTCTCTCTCTCAATCTCTCTGTTTCTCTCCCCTCTGTGTGTGAAGTCAGTTATCTGAATCCACACTCGGATAATGTGGGATTTTCTGCCTTGATATTCTGGAATATAGGGCTGTGTGAAAAGGCCTTGTCTCTCTCTCTCAATCTCTCTCTCTCTCAATCTCTCTGTTTCTCTCCCCTCTGTGTGTGAAGTGAGTTATCTGAATCCACACTCAGATAATGTGGGATTTTCTGCCTTGATATTCTGGAATATAGGGCTGTGTGAAAAGGCCCTAAATCTCTCTCTCAATCTCTGTCTCTCTCCTCTCTGTGCCTCTCTCTCTCTGTCTCTCTCCTCTCTGTCTCTCTCTCTCTCTCAACCTCTCTCTGTGTCTCAATTTCTCTATCCTCTCTCTCCTCCCTGTGTCTCTGTCTCTCTCTCTCAACCTCTCTCTGTGTCTCTGCTCTCATCTCTTCTCTCTCCTCCCTGCTTGTCTCTGTCTCTCTCTCAACCTCTCTCTGTGTCTCTCTGTCTCAATCTCTCTTCTCTCTCCTCCCTGTGTCTCTGTCTCTCTCTCTCTCTCTGTGTGTGTCTCTGTCTCTCTCTCAATCTCTCTCTCCTCTCTGTACCTCTGTCTCTCTCTCTCAATCTCTCTTCATCTCTGTCTCTCTCTCTCAATCTCTCTCCTCTCTTTGTGCCTGTCTCCGTCTCTCTGTCTCAGTCATCTTTCTCCTCTCTGTGCCTCTGTCTCTCTCAAACTCTCTGTGTCTCTGCCTCTCTATCAGTCACTCTCTCGTCTCTCTCCTCTCTGTGTCTCTGTCTCTCTTTCTCAACCTCTCTCTGTGTCTCTCTCTCTCTCAATCTTTCTCCTCTCTCTGTGCCTGTCTCTCTCTCTCTCAACCTCTCTGTGTGTCTCAATCTCTCTCTCCTCTCTCTCCTCCCTGTGTCTCTGTCTCTCTCTGTCTCTCTCTGTGCCTGTCTCTGTCTCTCTCTCCTCTCTGTGCCTCTGTCTCTCTCTCTCTCTCTCTCAACCTTCTGTGTCTCTGTCTCTCTCTCGATCTCTTTCCTCTCCTCCCTGTGTCTCTGTCTCTCTCTCTCTCTGTGCTTCTCTGTCTCTGTCTCTCTCTGTCTCTCCTCTCTGTGCCTCTGTCTTCCTCTCTCTCAACCTTTCTGTGTCTCTGTCTCTCTCACAATCTCTCGTTCCTCTCCTCCCTGTGTCTCTGTCTCTCTCTCAACCTCTCTCTGTGTCTCAATCTCTTTCTCTCTGGTCTCTGTGTCTCTGTGTCTGTCTCTCTCTCTCAACCTCTCTGTGTGTCTCAATCTCTCTCTCCTCTCTCTCCTCCCTGTGTCTCTGTCTCTCTCTGTGCCTGTCTCTGTCTCTCTCACACACTCTCCTCTCTGTGCCTCTGTCTTCCTCTCTCTCAACCTTTCTGTGTCTCTGTCTCTCTCACAATCTCTCGTTCCTCTCCTCCCTGTGTCTCTGTCTCTCTCTCAACCTCTCTCTGTGTCTCAATCTCTTTCTCTGGTCTCTCTCCTCTCTGTGCCTCTGTCTCTCTCTCCTCTCTCAATCTCTCTCTGCCTGCCTGTCTTCTTCGCCCAGGTATCTCGTGTCTCTCTTCCTTCCTCCTTGGCTTGGGCTTACCTTCCCTCCGGCTCCGGGCCCCCGTGGCTCGGCCTCCATCCTGCCCCGCTTCGCGCCCTTCTTGGAGGGCTTGCTCCGCAGTTTGTAGGCGGAGGAGCTGGAGGATTTAATGAATAATCCCGGGACGGCGTTGCCTGGCGTCGGAGGGGGCTGGGGCTGTGGCAAAGCCTGCGAGGAGTTGGAGTCCTCCGCCACCGCCGCCTCCTTGGAGCTGTGGTAAACCACCCGGCTGTCCGAGATGTGGATGCTGGGCGCGCAGCCCATGGTGGGCCCTGGCTGGGAGGCTCCCCGCAGCCCCGCGAAGGCGCTAGTCCTCAAGGCCAGGAGGCCTGCCAGTGCCTGCCTCCTCCTCCTCCTCCTTCTCCCCCCCGGTCAGCTCTCCTTCTTCTCCTTCTTCTTCCTCTTCTTCCTCTTCTTCTTCTTCTGGGTGAGGACGCGAATGCAGCCCCCGCCTTGGACTGTGCGCCTCCCCCCAAAACACATCGGGATTCAGTCTCGCCCGAAGGGGGCCAAGGGTCCCGAAGGGCTCGGCTCGGGAAAGTCAGCCCGGCTGGAAGGCAAGCCGCTGGGATCCATCCTCTCTCGCTTTCGGGGGTCACAAAGGGAGCCGGGAAGAGGGGAGTGTCGCAAGGTCCCCGCCTGCCTTCTGTCCAGGCCACGCTCTGCCCCTTCCCCGCCTTGGCGAAGCTCCAAAGTGCACGCGAAGGATGCGTGTCGGGCATCCACACGTGACGGCGCTTTTCTCGCGTCCGGAGGGGTCCCTGGAGTGCGGGAAGGGGCGCGATGCATTCAGACCCAGGCCCAGAGAAAGGCAGGAATGGGGAGCTCCTGAAAGTCTGCCTCACTTGGAGCCCAGCGGATCCTCCTCCCGCTCCATCCTTGCCTGGGGTCTGTTGCAGCAAAAACGGAGGAGGAAAGGGGAGCAAGGGCACAAGGCGGGGTCTCCCTTCCTCCCTCTCGTCCTCCCTTCCTCCTTTCCGTCCCCAAAGAAGCGACTTTGACAGCCGGAGGCGCCGCGGCAGAGGCGGAGGAGGAGGCGGAGGAGCCCCCGCAGCCCCCGCCGGAGCCGACCTCCAGCCCGGACTGACGTCAATGCAAATTAGGCGCCGGAGCCAATCAGGAGCGCCGGCCACACCGGGCGGGGAACTTCAAACCGAGCCTTAGAAGCAAGCCAACCTCAGTCTCGCTTTCTTCGTGTCCGGGGGAAAGGGTTGCCTTGGCCTTCCTCTGAGGCTGAGAGAGTGTGGCTGTGGGCTTCTCTCCACGGCTGAAGGAAAGGCCCAATCCTAATCTCCAGGCCCATTTCTTGCCCTTGCAGTTCCTCCCCTTGAAAAGACTCCATTCTACAAAAAGTGAGGTTAGGATATATATTCTAGCCGTTCCCTGCCATGAGTTGCTGTGGCCCACATGGGGTTCTGTGTGGGAGGTTTGGCCCAATTCTATCATTGGTGGGGTTCAGAATGCTCTTTGATTGTAGGTGAACTATAAATCCCAGCAACTACAACTCCCAAATGACAAAATCAAATTTTTTGAGTGAAGGACATACATTGGGTTGTTAGGTGTCTTGTGTCCAAATTTGGTGTCAATTCATCCAGTGGTTTTTGAGTTCTGTTAATCCCACAAACGAACATTACATTTTTATTTATATAGATTTACTTACTTACTTACTTACTTACTTACTTACAGTATTTATAGTAGGATAGCCTTCCAAGGTCAGTGTACTGGTGGGTCCGTAGGTGACTGTAGAGCCCAATTCTTGATCTGCATCTTCTCCCGCAGGGAGGGCATTGGTTTCCAGGTGGAAGGCAGTCCGGTCGAGGTTGGCTTGACGTGCCTTCCTCTTGGCACGTTTCTCTCTTTCGCCCTCCATTTGTGCCTCTTCAAATTCTGCAGCACTGCTGGTCACAGCTGACTTCCAGCTGGAGTGCTCACAGGCTAGGGCTTCCCACTTCTCAGTGTCTATGCCAGTCAGCTTTCTAGTTGCTTGCTTGCTTGCATGCTGCAAGTCGCTTCTAGTTTCTTCTGAGGTGAGTCAGCCATCTACGAAGACGTTGCCCAGGGGACGCCCGGATGTCTTGCAGTCCTGCAAGGAGGCTTCTCTCATGTCCCCCAGGTTGTGCTGACTGGCACAAACTGGGGATCACAACCAGATACAGTGAAGACATCTGCCCTTGCGCTGTGCTACTCTGCTGCTGAGTATGCATGCCCAGTGTGGAACACATCTCACCACACTAAAACAGTGGGTGTGGCTCTTAATGAGACATGCCGCATTATCACAGGGTGTCTGCGCCCTACACCACTGGAGAAATTACACTGCTTAGCTGGTATTGCACCACCTGACATCCGCCGGGAAGTAGCAGCCAATAGCGAAAGGACCAAGGCAGAGACATCTCCAGCTCATCCCCTGTTTGGGTATCAGCCAGCACGTCAACGACTTAAATCAAGACATAGTTTTCTTAGATCTACAGAGACACTCGCTGGAACACCCCAGCAAGCAAGAGTCCAAAAGTGGCAGGCCCAAACCCAGCACCTCAATCCATGGGTGATACCAGATGAGAGACTCCCCCCTGGGCACACAGAAGACTGGGCGACTTGGAAGGCGCTGAACAGACTGCGCTCTGGCACCACGAGATGCAGAGCCAATCTTAAGAAATGGGGCTACAAAGTGGAATCCACGACATGCGAGTGCGGAGAAGAGCAAACCACTGACCACCTGCTGCAATGCACCCTGAGCCCTGCCACATGCACAAGGGAGACCTCCTTGCGGCAACACCAGAGGCACTCCAAGTGGCCAGAGACTGGTCAAAGGACATTTAATCAACTACCAAGTTTGCAAAATTGGTTTTTTTTATCTGTTTGTTTGTTTTGTTCTGTTAGAAATGTAATACAATGGTATGGTTGCTGATGACATGATAAATAAATAGTGTCTATGCCAGAATTTTTAAGATTAACATCAAAATATTAAAACAATTCATTAAAACAATTGATTAAACAGGCCAGTAAAAAACTTAGACAAATTAACACATAGTAAATCTGAAAAGATGTGCACTACTGTAGCTAGTTACCTAAAAGGAACGATGTTCCAAGGCAGGTTTGCGTCCAGGACCAGATACAGAATTGAAAAAGGAAAAAAATATTTTTCCTTTCTTTGCTTTCAAACCTTCCAAGAACCCATTTGCATTCCACTTTAATTGCCATGGCAACATCCCATGGGATCCTAGGGTTTTGTAGTATACCACACTAGAGCTTTTGGGCTGAGAATGGTAAATGTCCCTCTATAAACGGCATATCCAGGAACCCATGGGATGTTGACTGTGGAACCCTATTCTTGACCTGCATCTTCTCCCGCAGTGAGGGCATTGCTTTCCAGGTGGAAGGTGGTCCCGGTCGAGGTTGGCTTTACCTGCCTTCCTCTTGGCACATTTCTCTCTTTTGCCCTTCAATCATGCGTCTTCAAATTCTACAGCACTGCTGGTCACAGCTGACCTCCAACTGGAGCGCTCAAGGGCCAGGGTTTCCCAGTTCTCAGTGTCTATGCCAGAGTTTTTAAGCCCATGTTTAAATCTCTTTTCCTTCCCTCCAACATTCCATTTTCCATCCTTGAGTTCGGAGTAGAGCAACTGCTTTGGGAGACGGTGGTTGGGCATCCGGACAATGTGACCGGTCCAGCAGAGTTTTTTTAATTTTAAATATTTTATTTCAAAAAGACAATACACCAACCATATATTGCAGAAATATACACATACACAAACACATACATAGACAACCCACCACCCACAGTACAGTTACCCCTCAACCCACCCCCAGTGCTACTCACCACGTTGGCTTCCGTCACTGATCCCTGCAGGATTTATGCACATCTTGTTTAACCCTCTATACTTCCAATTCAGTAAATTCCTCTTGTTTTTATTTCTTTAGCTCTCCCGTCAAGTATGCTAAGGCCAGCTTCCAGTTTCTTTCAAATATTTCATGATTTTCATATTTCAAATTGCTAGAAATCTTAGCCATCTGTACATAATCCCACAGTTTATCCTTCCAATCTTTGATGCTTAATGTTTTCTCCCCTTTCCAATCTTTGGCAATTGTAATGCGTGCAGCCACAAAGCTGTACAAACAAATTTCTCTCTCTGGTTGATCTAATTTATCTCTGAATATTTTATCTCTAATAATTTATCTCTAATTTATCTCTGAATATTCCTAATAGGCACATCCCTGGGTTCTTTTTTACTTTGTTGTGGATCATTTTATTTGTTTCCTTTATTAGCCTAAAGAAGCAAAGCCTAGAGAAGACAATTATGCTGGGGAAAGTGGAAGGCAAAAGGAAGAGGGGCCGACCAAGGGCAAGATGGTTGGATGGCATCCTTGAAGTGACTGGACTGACCTTGAAGGAGCTGGGGGTGGTGACGGCCGACAGGGAGCTCTGGCGTGGGCTGGTCCATGAGGTCACGAAGAGTCGGAGACGACTGAACGAATGAACAACAACAACAACAACAACAATTGCATTATTTTCCAATAGACCTGCACCAGTTCACAAGACCACCATACATGAAAAAAAGTCCCTTTCTTTGTTTGGTCCAGCGGAGTTGATGGCGGAGGATCATCACTTCAATGCTGGTGGTCTCTGCTTCTTCCAGCACGCTGACATTTATCCACTTGTCTTCCCAAGAGATTTGCAGGATTCAGAGGCAGCGCTGATGGAATCGTTCCAGGAGTTGCATGTGACGTCTGTAGACAGTCCACGTTTCACAGGCGTATAGCAGGGTTGGGAGGACAATAGCTTTATAAACAAGCACCTTGGTATCCCTATGGATGTCCTGGTCCTCAAACACTCTCTGCTTCATTCAAAATGCTGCACTCGCAGAGCTCAGGCAGTGATGTATTTCAGTGTCAATGTTGACTTTTGTGGAGAGGTGGCTGCCAAGGGAGTGGAAATGCCATTACACCCTTAAGTTGTATTTCTGGCATTGGAGAGAAATTGGCTGGGGACTGTTGGAAGAGGACTTTGGTTTTCTCGATGTTCGGTGACAGGCCGAGCTTCTCGTATGCTTCTGCAAAGGTGTTGAGAGTGGCTTGTAAAATTATAACAGTAAAACAACACTCAAACACAGGGGAACTCCAGGGAGGAAACAATCAGGGATAGCTAATCACCTCTCAACGAAAGATTCCCCCAGGCAATAACAAGCGACACCTAAAAACTGCCAGGCCATCAAATGCTAAAGGTGGCCAATTGAAACATTCACACCTAGCTCCAACAGACAAGAGTTCTTTCTCCCACCCTGGACATTCCACAGATAGAGAAACCCAAAATTCCTAGTTTCCAACAGACCTCACAAGCTCTGATGATGCTTGCCATAGATGCAGGCAAAATGTCAGGAGAGAATGCTTCTAGAACATGGCCATACAGCCCGAAAAACCTACAACCTATTATTATTATTACTATTTGGTTTGTAAACATAAAAATAACTAGAGAACCCTAACCATAGATTAATGAGTCTAGAATTTTGCTGTGTGGCCCAGGTGAAAAAACAAGAACGAATGGGCACAAATGGTATGTTTACAAGGGAATAAATTTTATTGAACTCAGTGGAGCTTACTTTTGAACAGGCATATCTAGGATAAAGCTGTAACTCATAAAAAAACCCACCACCACCCAATTGCAGGACTTTTGGTGATTCCAAACATGTGCATATTATTATTTATCTTCCCCAAGGATAGTTTTAAAATGTTTCTTTCCCTACACAGTGAAGAATCCCAAGGAGTTTAGTCAGCTCTTTCTGGGGGCAAAGTACAGGTTTGCAAGAATGCGGGAAGGGAAGGGAAGAAGCAGCAGAAGTGTCACTCATTACACTACAAAACAGGCATTGGCAAACTTCGTCCTTCCAGGTGTTTTGGACTTCAACTCCCACAATTCCTAAGAGCCTCAGCCCTTTGGCTGTTAGGAATTGTGGGAGTTGAAGTCCAAAACACCTGGATGCCCCAAGTTTGCCCATGACTGTTCTACAGCTTTAAGTTTCTATTTTATGTATTTATTTATTTGCGACATTTATATGCCGCCCTTCTCACCACG